GGGGATTTATTACAGTGTGTCCAGGGGGAATGGGGATTTATTACAGTGTGTCCGGGGGGGCGGGTGTTTATTACAGTCTTTACCTGGGGGGATAGGACCAGGATTGAGAGTCCCAAAGGCTGTGTTGCCTGCCTGGTGTGTGGATTCAGGTTTTCTCCTCTGGGCTATGGAGAAACCTGGAGTGGGAGGGGAAAGATGCATTTGTCATGGTCCACATAGTTACCAACAATACAGGTAGAAAGAGGAGAGAGGTTCTGCTGAGGGAATATGAACAGCTAGGGGCTACATTAAAAAGCAGAACTAAAAAAGTTAGTAATCTCTAGATTACTGCCTGAGCCACAAACAAATTGACACAGGGTCAACAAGATTAAAGAGGTAAATGCATTGGTTGGTAAAAAGATTGGTGTGGGAGAAACGGATTCAAATTCATGCGAAATTGCCACCAGTCCTGGGGAAGGTGGGATCTGTTCCAATGGCTTCACCTGAATCATGCTGGGACCAGAGTCCTGGTGAATCACATAACGAGGCCTGTGGACAGGGCTTTAAACTGAATAGTGGGTGGGGTGGGTTGGGGTGATTGTGGTGGGTTCAGTTGGATGGAAAATTAAGGAAAATATTAAATTGTAATAGGACAGAGAGTATGGAAAGGGTCAGGAAGCTAACTTCAGGCACAGGAGATGAGGCAACAACTATGAGAAAGTTGGGGGGGGGTGCGCAGTCAACACAGGACTGAGGGTGTTGTACTTAAATGCTCACAGTATACAAAACTAGATAGATCAGCTTGTAAGCGCACATTGAAATTGGCAGGTACAATGTTGTGTTGGTAGGTGGAGGGACAGGTAGCATTGAGGAAGCAGGGAGGCCGCAGGAGGACTTGGACAGATTAGGAGAGGAGGCAAAGATGGGGCAGATAGAAGACAATGTAAGTGTGAGGTTATGCACTTTGGTAGGAAGAATTGAGGTGTAGACTATTTTCTAAATGGGGAAAGGCTTCAGAAATCTGAAGCACAAATGGACTTTGGAGTCCTATTTCAGGACTCTCTTAAAGTTAATATGCAGGTTCAGTTGGCAGTTAGGAAGGCAAATGCAATGTTAGCATTCATTTCAAGAGGGATAGAATACAAGAGCAGAATGTGCTGCTGAGGCTGTATAAGGCTCTGATCAGATTGCATTTGGAATATTATGAACAGCTTTGGGCCCTGTTTCTAAGAAAGGATGTGCCAGCCTGGGAGGGTCTAGAGGAGGCTTACAGGAATGATCCTGGAGATGAAGTGCTTGTCATAAGACGAGCAATTGAGGACTCTGGGTCTGTACTCGATAGAGTTTAGAAGGTTGAGGGTGGATCTCAATTAAACTTACAGAATAATGAGAGGCCTGGTGAAGTGGATGGGGAGAAGACGTTTCCACTGATAGGAGAGACTAGGACCCGAGGGCACAGTCTCAGAGTGAAGGATCCACCCGTCAGAACTGAGGATAGAGGAAATTCTTCAGCCAGATGGTGGATGAATCTGTGGAACTCAGTGCCACAGAAGGGCTGTGGAGGCCAAGACATTGAGTGTATTTAAGACGGAGATAGATGGGTTCTTGATTAGTAAGGGAATCAAGGATTACAGGGAAAAGGCAGGAGAATGAGGTAGAGAAACAACCATAACCGAATGGCAGAGCAGACTCAATGGACCAAATGGCCTAATCTGCTCCTATATCTTACGTTCTTAAAAGGGGCTTCAGATATTTACTCTGCAATTTGAGAGGGTAAAGATAGAATCAGAGGTAAAGGTATTACAGCTGAATAAAGGCGACTACAGAGGTATGAGGTAGGAGGGAGGAGCTGGGCAGAATTGACTGGAAGACGAGCCTAACAGGAAAGACAGTGGAACAGCAATGCCAGGAGTTTCTGGGAGTAAAAGCATGGTATAGGGAGGATGAAGCAACCATGGCTGACTAAGGAAGTCAGCGATAGCATAAAAGCAAAAGAGAAAGCAAATAATGTGGCGATGGGCAGTGGGAAACCAGAGGACTGGGAAGCTTACAAAGACCAACAGAGGGCAACAAAAAAAGAAATAAGGAGGGAGAAGATTAAATATGAGGGTAAGCTAGTCAGTAATATAAATAAAGACCGTAAGAGTTTCTTTAGATATATAAAGGGCAAAGGAGAGGCAATAGTGGACATTAGACCACTGGAAAACGACGGTGGAGAGATAGTAGTGGGAAACAAGGAAATGGCTGAGGAACTGAATAATTACTTCATGTCAGCCTTCACGGTGGAAGACATGAGTAATATCCCAAAAATTCAAGAGAGTCAGGGGGCAGAGCTGAGTATGGTGGCCATCACCAAGGAAAAGGTGCGAGTAAAACTGATTGGCCTGAAGGTAGACAAATCATCTGGACCAGATGGACTACACCCCACAGTTCTGAAGGAGATAGCTGAAGAGATAGTGGAAGCGTTCGTGGTGATCTTTCAGGAATCGCTCCAGTCAGGGAGGGTCCCAGAGGACTGGAAAATCGCTAATGCAACACCCCTGTTTAAAAAGGGAGTAAGGCAAAACACGGAAAATTACAGGCAGATTAGCCTAACCTTGGTTGTGGGTATGATTTTGGAGTCCATTGTAAAGGATGAGATTTCTGAATATTTGGAAGTGTAAGGTAAAATATCGCAAAGTCAGCATGGTTTCATCAAAGGGAGGTCATGCCTGACAAATCTGCTAGAATTCTTTGAGGAAGTAACGAGCAGGGTAGACCAAGGAGAGCCAATGGATGTTATCTACCTGGACTTCAATTCGGCCTTTGACAAGGTGCTGCACAGGAGGCTGCTCAGTAAGATAAGGGCCTATGGTGTGAGAGGCAAGGTGCTAGCATGGATGGAAGATTGGCTGTCTGGCAGAAAGCAGAGAGTGGGGATAAAATGATCTTTCTTGGGATGGTAGCTGGTGGCAAGTGGTGTTCTGCAAGGGTCAGTGTTGGGACCACAACTTTTCATTTTGTACATTAATGATCTAGATGAAGGAACTGTGGGCATTCTGGCTAAGTTTGCAGACAATACAAAGATAGGTAGAGGGACAGGTCGTATTGAGGAGGTGGGAAGGCTGCAGAAGCATTTGGACAGGATAGGAGAGTGGGCAAAGAAGTGGCAGAGGGAGTACAACGTGGGAAAGTGTGAGGTCTGCATTTTGGTAAGAAGAATAAAAGCACGGACTACTTTCTAAATGAGGAGAAAATTCAGAAGTCTGAAGTGCAAAGAGACTTGGGGGTCCTAGCCCAGGATTCTCTCAAGGTAAACTTGCAGGTTGAGTCAGTAGTCAGGAAGGCAAATGCAATGTTGGCATTTATTTTGAGAGGACTTGAATATAAAACAGGGATGTACTACTGAGGCTTTATAAGGCTCTGGTCAGACCACATTTGGAGTATTGTGTGTAGTTTTGGGCCCCATATCTCAGGAAGGATGTACTGGCCCTGGAGCGGGTTCAGAGGAGGTTCACGAGAATGGTCCCAGGAATGAAAAGCTTAACATATGAGGTACGTTTGACGACTCTGGGACTATACTCATTGGAGTTTAGAAGGATGAGGGGGGATCTAATTGAAACTTTCAGAATACTGAATGACCTGAACAGAGTGGAGGTTGGGAAGATGCTTCCATTGGTAGGAGAGTCTAGGACCCGAGGGCACAGCCTTAGAGTAAAGGGAAGACCTTTTAGAATGGAGATAAGGAGAAACTTCTTCAGCCAGAGAGTGGTGAATCTATGGAATTCACTGCCACAGAAGGCTTTGGAGGTCAGGTCATTGAGTACCTTTAAGACTGAGATAGATAGGTTCTTGATTATCAAGGGGATTAAGGGTTACGGGGAGAAAGTAGAGAATGGGGTTGAGGAACTTATCAACGCACCCTGTTGCTTCATTAAGAAATTCAATAAAATTTGTTATGATGGCTTAATGTTTAATAATTTTTTGTAGAATTGCATTTGAGGGATTGTGGATACCTTGACTATGTGTTTTAAAGAGGTCAATGAAAGGACAATGGCAGTGTGGTTTGGGGTGGCAATACAGTTGATGGAGTAGAAAGCAGTTTTCACCTACTGACATTGTAACATCTTAAATGGTTGCACTAAAATGGTTTGCTGCTATTTCTTGACACGTTCTGCTATCTCCCACTTCAGTTACAAAAGGAGACCAGGATAAGGCTTGTATAATTCACTGGCCCACAGGTCTCTGCCATTGATGCCACTGTATAAGCTTAGCAGGTTGGTGACCATAATGCTGCAAACAAAAAGGAAGAGTTTGAAATCAGGCCCCCAGCAATGCAGATTATCTTGGGGCAGGTGCGTGACGGCACAGGAGGCATGGCCGATGGGTGTAAAGTGGAAAATCACAAAGCCGGGGGAATTGGAAAAGGAGAAAAGCAAAGCTGGAAGAGAGGTACAAATAAGCCACTAATCGCAGCAAGCTATTCTGGCCTCTAGTGTGGCTGAAACGAGAAAGAAATGATGGCCCAAGGATGGAGATTGAGGTAAAAGACATTACATTGCTTATACACAAATCAGTCTTGTGTGTGCATCTGACTGAAACACAAACAAACCTCAAGGGGAACTCACGTGGGTGCTGCCATTTTCAACCATTTTTTTTTCTTACCATTTTGAATGCGTTCTGGCCTTCAGGAATTCCTGTGAGAACATGCCTTTGAGATTGTGAAACACAGGAAACAGTGCAGCCCCCACCCTAGCCCCTGTCACAGACTAGGTCAGCATTTACCTGCTCTGCCAGCAACTGTTGCTGTTGCCTCTGCTCCCTGAATAACTGCTGCTTCTGCTGTTCCATCATGTGAAGCTGATGCATTCTCTGTCTTTCTTGCTCCATCAACAACTGCTTCATCATGACTGCCTGCTGCTGGTTTCCAAGGTAACTGGGGCCTCCAGGGCTAGCAGTCATCGAGCCGGGCACCGGGACCCCAGTGCCAGTGGCAGGGCCAGGGACAGGGGTCTGTACAGATGCTGCCGGCCGCGAGGTTCCCACTGGACTCTGATCCTGTGTGGAAGAAAGGACTGTCTCAATGATTGGAGAACATACAGGCTACTACAGAACCTCAAGCACAACATATTGTGCAGATGAAACCTACAAGCCACAAAAAAATACCACAACGGTAGTAATCCCATCCACCAACTGTCAAGTTATACACCTTATTCCTGCACGTACCAACTTCATGAAAGGATGTGGGGTCACCATTGTGTCCCTCTGCAATAACATCACCCCAGCAAACTGACTTGCCCCTCCATTTGCACTTGTGCGATACCTCCCTGGCAAATCTGATCAAAGTGCAAGAGCCATCAGCTGCAAAAGGTTGTATGTTTGCAAAAGTCCCAACAGATCATAGGGCTGCTCTCTCATTAGAGAGATGACTGGTGGTGTTTTTTTTTATTTAACCTATTCTTATTTGGTAGTGATGGTTTAACTTGAGAGTCACCATGCCTCAAGTGAAGGGTAAGGTTGAGAAGGACAGTCCCCATCATGGTAACCTCAGTCAGTGTGGGAACTGAACCCACGCTGTTGGCATTACAAACCAGCCAAATGAGCTAAATGACGCTTGTACATGTGTACTTGGGGAATGGTAGAGGTAAGTGAGGAGTCTCCCCAGCCTAGCTCATTAGCAGATTAAAACAAGCAGCACCACCATCCCAAAGCATTGCCCAATCAGATAACGTCTTTCAGTGAGTGAACATTTCTTAATGAACAAAGTGACTTTTTGTTGACCATGAAACTCAGGGGATCAGCAGCTGCAGTTTTATTTCGGCCTCTTAAACAACCATTGTCTTTACTTAACATTTGCCACATCACTGCTGCATTCTCAATTCAAGATTAATTTTGTCTGGCGATGTTACAGTAAAATGTTATGTCTCCCCTGCCACTAGTACAATATTGCAGATCTACGAGGAGGTCTTCAGTATACCGCAGTCTTACTGGCTTGTTTATTATATTTAAGTCTTAAGACATTATTCAGTAAACTCAAAGGCTGACATCTTAAGAGTCACAGTATTAAAAAAACGCACACAGTACAAAGAATAGTTCTTCATCAAAAGAAGGCATGCATTTGTTTCAGAGGATAATTACAACCTTCACTTTTGACAACTGTGCGTACAAATTTATAAAGATTGTGTCTCAAATATTAATATTTACACACACATCACACACTAGCCTGTAGCAATTTCTTTTTAATATTTTGAAGACTCATGCACATATCAGGTTTTTTTTTGGTGGGGTGGGGGAAAGACAGAGGTGGAGATGGGTGTTTTAAGAATGCCATTTTTATATTCATTTCACCACCAGTTTTCTTCCTACGCCCGTCTTTTGAGTGTGGTGGTTCATACTGTAACACAGATTGACGAACAACAAAAGAACCGTAACAGCACCATGTCCATATGAGTCTGCACAATTAGGCCCTGTGTATTGCGATCTTTTTTTCTTATTTTCCAGATGTGCATATCATTAGGAAAGCTGTTTATATTGCTTCTCACTTAATTGCCTCAGAAAGCGATCCCTGGTCTTCTGTTACTTGCTACACCAGTTCAGAGGGCATTTGAGAAGCAAGAAAGGACGTGACTAATACTTGGAATGAGTGGATTACCTTATGAGGCAAGGTAATCCTCTGGAGGTTAGAAGAGTCAGAAGTGACTTAATTGAAACGTATAAGATCCTCAGAGGACTTGACTGAGTGGATGCTTCCTCTTGTGGGAGAATCTAGATTTTTTTTCTTTTTTCATTCATGGGATGAGGGCATCGCTGGCTAGGGAGCATTTATTGCCCATCCCTAATTGCCCAGAGGGCAGTTAAGAGTCAATCACATTGCTGTGGGTCTGGAGTCACATGTAGGCCAGACCAGGTAAGGATGGCAGTTTCCTTCCCGAAAGGACATAAGTGGACCAGATGGGCTTTTCCCGCAACAATCGACAATGGATTCATGTTCCTCATTAGATTCTTAATTCCAGATATTTTATTGAGTTAAAATTCCACCATCTGCCATGGTGGGATTCGAATCCGGGTCCTCAGAATGTTACCTGGGTCTCTGGATTAACAGCCCAGCGATACCACTAGGCCATCGCCTACAGTGCAGAAAGAGGCTGTTTGGCCCATCAAGTGTGCACCGGCCCTCTGAAGAGCATCCCTCCTAGACCCAGGCTCCTCCACCCTATCTCCTTAACGGTGCATTTACCATGGCAATCCATCTAGCCTGCACATCTTTGGGCCATGAGGGGAAACCAGAGTGTGTGCAAACTCCACACAGTCACTCAAGGCTGAACATTTTTTTCTTTCAATGGGTTGTGAACTTTTGCAATGTTGGAGAGCTTTTCAGCGAGCACTCGACAGAGAGGCTCTGCAAAAACCGAGGGGAGGCATGATTGGAAAGGGAGCAATGGAAAGAAAGGTGATCCTTGGGATCATGGAGCAGTGGAATGCAGTGTGTAGGTTTCTGCACATGGAGAATGGCACTCAAAATCTACTAGCTCAGAGGACAGGTCTACTTGAGGCATTTTGAGTTCAGCAGGCATAGAATGGAGTTTCAGGGTATTGAGCGGGAGACTGAAGAATGTAACGGTATAGGAGTTCTGAGAATTTGTTAGCAGTGGGAAAGGAGTGGAATCTCCTTGTGTGAGGTTGTAAGGTCCAAATAAATCTGGGCCTTTTTCAAACCTTCAGACAGCAATGCCTCACTGAGTACATTCCCGTGTCTCATAACTCATCTCTGTGACAACCCGTTTTCTTGTTCGCACTTTTCTTCCAATTGTTTCCCCACTTGACAACCGCTCTCTAATTTATTGGCAGCACAGGATTTTAAAAAAATTACCAACTTTTTGTGAGTTTGCTGACTTATACAATCCTTACTTATAAATATAAATGTCCACAATCCAATAAAAATGACCTCATAAGATACGTAAACAGTCATTAGCAAGTTTTTCTATTAAAAACCTCCCATAAACCTCAAAAAATGGTTCATAAAATAGATACTTCTAATTTAAGTTTTAATTGTAATCAAGCACGAATAAAAACAAAATCAAGTATCAATAAATAATACTATAAGTAATGGCAGATAGTAAATAAAACAGAAAAATTACTGATAACGTTAAGCATAATTGTTCTCTGTCTGAAAACAGTTCCACAATAAAGAGCGCAATTCTTAAATGAATGCCATTAGTAGCCTGAAATGAACTTTTTTAGTTTGAAAATCTTTTACACAAAGTGAAGGAATTCCAAGATTTTTGCTGACTGTGAAGGTATCCTGACGCTTAAACTGCTACACTGATTCCTGAAAAATTCAGAAAAATCTATGGAAAATTGCAGACAGATTATGAACTCACAGGCTTTTTTGACTGTGCTGCCTTTCTGAAGGAGCAGTTCAGCTCCCACCGATCACCTGTCTTCTCCTTACAGCTCTATACATTCTTCCTTTTCAGTTAATCATCCAAACCCCTCATGAATGTGTTGACTGAATCTGTCTCCACCACACTCTCTTTGGAACTACATTTCAGATTCCAAGCAGACACTGCATGAGAAAGGTTTTCTTAGTATCACTAATGCTTAACAAAACCTGTGGCCCTCTGATGTCAGTCTACTCAACAATGGAAAAGTCTCACCCTATCTGCTCTGTCCAGATCCCTCATAATTTTGAGTTCTGTATCCGTATTAATAAAGACTAGATCTTATCATGTTTCTGTAGTTATGGTTGTGGACTGATATGGGAAAGGATGATTTTAAAAACCGAGGATTGTGGTAGAACATACAACATTACAGCACAGTACAGGCCCTTCGGCCCTCGATGTTGCGCCGACCTGTGAAAGGGATGGCTGCATTTGTTTCAAGTAAGTTGCCTCATTATATTCAATATTCAATGGCGATTCAGCTGGCAACAGGTAGCTGATTGGTCTTGGGATTGGTGACTATTTACCCAATGACAAAGGCTGTTTACACTGCTGCTTTGTTCAATCAGTGGGGGAGGCTGGTTTCAGACAGACTAGCACATGGGACTGTTTTCAAGGTGAGATCTAGCTAGCAACAAGTAGCTACTTGGCTTGCAGAGTTGTGACCAATTGTGGATGACTGCCTGCCAACAACAAAGTGTTTGGGTCCTGAGAGCTCAAAAGCTTGTGGGTGTGAATAATATGGCCGGAAGTCTTCAGACCTCCATAAGGGGAAGTGGCATGTCTCTCTGCAGTAAACAAAAATGCCCAAAGCTTGAAGCCTGTTTCTTTTCTTACACTGTGGCTTTGGGGGGCACAGTGGCTCAGTGGTTAGCACTGCTACCACACAGCACCAGGGTCCCAGGTTCAATTCCACCTTCAGGTGACTGTCTGTGTGGAGTTTGCACATTCTCTCTGGGTCTGTGTACATTTCCTCCAGGTACTTCGGTTTCCTCCGATGGTAAAATGTACAGGTTAGGTGGATTAGCCATTAGAAATGCAGGGTTACAGGGATAGGGTAGGAGGTGGGTCTGGGTGGGATGTTCTTCAGATAGCTGGTGTGGAGTTGATGAGCCAACTGGCCTGGTTCCACACTGTAGGGATTTTATGATTCTAACCACTAACTGAGAGAGTTTGCAATTATGCACCCATGCTGCATGTGAAGAAATGAAAAAAAATTGTGAAAAAAAGATTGTTTTCCCAGTGATTTTTTTCTCTCGCAGATGATGCCAATGTTTTTCTTTGTCTGTCTGTATATGTGTAGGAGGTTTACAGAAAAGGCTTAGAGTTTTATCCAGCAGAGTTGTATGTTGATAGTTCATGGTTGTTTACCTGTAGCTATAATCTATTTATTTGTAACAAATTCAGGTTAAGTACAGAAGCTTAGTCTAAGTTTTCTGAAAGACAGAAAAACTGGGGACTTTGCGTACTTCGGTAAAATCTCTAACTTTTTAACAACTGTGGGTATAGCTTGATTTCCAATGAACTACCCCAGTGATGCACGACACTCTCACATCTCCTCTCAATCTTTCCTTCTTCAAAAAGATCTGACCCAGCTTCCCTGATCTGCCTAGATGA